TTTCTGTTTTCCCTCCTCCCCTCGACTTTGAACGGCCAAAAAAGCAGCATATATGCACGTGCTACAACAGTTAGGGGATTTGAGACTTGTAGCGTAGTGTTTTTTTTTCTTTGAAATGACAAGATTCCTGTGTAATATTTTTTTGTTCGAAAAGACAAGATTCCTGTAAAATTAATTAAGACGAAAATCGGTTAATTAAGTAAATGTAAGCGAAAACCCGATAGTCTAGTTAATTATGGAAACCGGACAAAAATCACCACAGTACGCACGCACACCGCTTCAAAGAGGGCCTCGACGAGACAATGCACAAGCATCATCGTCATCACTCCTTCCCTAGATGTGTCATCATCATCCCTAAATCTTGAGCACACGAGTCTGATTTCATCGTAGGCGATCGTCGACTCAACCCATACTGTAAAAGGCCGTGTGGGGTTGTAGGAATAACCAAGCCAGAACCCAGCGACTTGCAACCACACAAATGCTACTCTGACTCTGACTGAGAACTACGAGGGAGAACTAGGCATGGCTAGCGCCGCAGAAGATCACCCAATGAACCACATGTTGCCCGTCATCACAAGACTTCATAGCAACAAACAAGCCGAGACGATACCGCGGACACGCCATAGAAGAGCCGACTACCCTCGATCATTGCCGTGTCTCCGACCTCGCTCCTGCATCATCGTTCCCGCAGACGCTTCGACGCCAACACCACCACCTTTCATGCCCAAGACACAAAGCTAGGTCGTCGACGCCCCCATGCCACCAACCACTCTGACACATGAGATTGCAAATCATCAACTAGCACCAAGGAGTGAGAAGCGCCTTCGAGGAAATATACAAGGCAATCGAGCCCCTCTCCCTTCCACTCCGACCCATAACGCCAGCGAAGAAGAGATGAGGAGAGAATGCTAGTAGGCGTGCGAGAAAGTATGGGCTAGGGCATCTCCACAACTAACCCCCAAATCAGACATCGCATCCATCAGCAGACAGAAGAGAGCAGTCTGCATACACGGATGCGGGAGCCGGACATCCAACTGTAGCAACATACATTTCAAACCGGATCAACTAAGCGGACGATTTCCATCAAACACGACAGAATTCATCTAAAGTTCAGATAAAAAATAGTACAAATCATCCATAAATAACATATAAATATGTCTAGTACAACAATAGTTCAAATGCAACAAGATTAACCGTGTGTTCAACAAGGTTTTCGCGGATGAATCATGTTATCCCACACATACTATCCCTTGAGTTTCATCCAACAATGTATGTGCGTGAATGGTCTGCCCTTTGACATGTAGCTTATCACGGCAATGCGTGCAGGCTACACAACGTACAACAACAAATGAGTGAATGAATGAAGCAATCAATCAATATGTAGAGCAAGAAGAAGAAAAACTTATGATCTCCATGGTCGTCACGCGCAAGCCGATCAATCGCACCACAATACTTCATGACACAGTCCCGGATCGTGTACCATCGATACGCTAAGGATTTGACACCATGTTCATGGATGATGTGCATGTCATAGAGCGCAGTGTGCTTTCGCGCATGAAACGAACCATGCACGCACTGCCAAAAGGCTCCCTTCTGCTTCAGCCTATGAAGTCCGCAAATACGGCCAATCACACATCGTACAATAACTCTTCCCCCTTCACCTAGTATCCCACCATCCTTCTTACTCTAAAAATGACATGAAGTTCGAAAATAAGCCCAGTGACATTTGACCGAACACCTGTCGGGCGTGGTGTCCCCCATGGACAACATCGACAGGGGGACGAAGGGTACCTGGCTGCAGACGAATCTTGGGTGAAGGATGCCGTTGTACAAGGCGAGAGGGTGCGTGGGTGGGGGCTGTGGACATCTCGCAATGCCTGGGCGGCGGCCAGAGAGTACATCGACAACATCGACCGAGGAGGGGACGGATGCAAAGCATGGGGCGGGGGAGGGGGGGAGTGAAAAAGAATGGGACCGAAAGAAAGGATTTGAGTGGGCCGGCGGTGTTCGAGTCCTACGTGGCAGCGGTACAGACCCCCGTAAAGCCCCCAATTTACTTTCTACTAGAACATGGTAGCACGCGTTGCCGCGCCCGTTCATCTTAAGAATGAAATGACATAAAAATTTGAAAATAAAAATCTTGGTATTATAAATATTTGTTCCATTTGAATTAGAGTACATTAGATGAAAGGCCATAACAAATAATGTCATCACCCATCAATACAAAGGAGGATTCATAAGATAAAAGGTTTTGCTCTATGTTCTCATCGAAGCAAATTAAAATTAACGACAACACTCCGTCTCCATGTTTAACCTACTGCCATAAAGATTTAAGTGCACAACCACCGTTGTAACAATTGAATTAACACTGGAGAAATTCAAGCAATTTTTTTCTTAAACATGGCAGGGAGTGCGGCATTGTTTATGAACACATCACTAAGATAGTGTGAATCGCCAAATGTACAAATATTTACTAAAATAAAATACAAAACAAACCGTCCTCATCGAATAGCAAAAAAAATGCCTAGCTAACCTAGACCTGCCACAGCACACGGACAAATGAATTGAGGCCTAAGGCGCCACGAGTGCTTGCTGGCAGCCACAGCAATGCTCAAGAGAGCTCGCAACCAAACGATTGAAGGAGTAACAATAGAAACAGCCCGTAAACAAAAAACAATAGAAACAGGTTCTTCAGGGAAGCAGTGTGTGTA